CAGAAAGGCGGCGCATAGAGGAGAAACAATAATGTACAGTATGTGGAAAATAATGTGTTTTTTTTACTTTAAACCGCATAAACACATTTCATTACACCAAATACACAAAATACTGTTCTTTTTAGCAGCATCATATGACCCCTTTAAGTTCTGGATTGTTTGTTACTCATATAGGAAATAATTGAATTGCATTTAAGATTATAATCAAAATGTGGTAAGTTTCTAGAAAAGTGCCAAAAATAAATATCAAACCCCCTGAGTGTTATGAAAAGCAACTTTAATTTGAAGTGGGGTATTTTGCTATATCTGCGTTATAAAATGTTATTTATTTAAAATTGCACTGTAATTTCTTACTATTGTTTTTCCTGTAAATGTATTTTAGCAATAGTAGCAACTAGGGGGATTTATACAGAGTAATTTTAACATGGAAAAAATTAGTTATTAGATTTGTTTCAACGTTTTTCTTGAACCATTGATTCACTCTTTTCCTTGAATCCGACCCGACCACTAGGAGTAACTGGTATTATCTCATTCGTAATGGAACAATTTGAATCATTCCAGTTGAATAAGTGAATTGAAACCAACTGTGTTGTCATGTTTTTCCATTTAATAAAAACTGTTCAAATAAAACAAGTGAAATATTTTCTTAATTCAACAAAAACCTTTATTTTTTTACTTCGTCCTTAAGAATCAAGATTATGTAGGCCTACCTCTGATTTGCAAAGTTTAATCGAGTTTGGGGATAATAAAAAAAAATTAAATCAGTGCATGTCGAAGCGTATCAGCTTCCATAACAGCAAATTTGTACCACACTGCTTCCTTTTACGAAAGCAGAAGTGAACTGATGTCAAAACCCACGCGTGGAATTAGGATAGAAGAAATGGGAGTTATAAAATCTCTTGAAAATCATGGAATAATTCATATAAGTCTTTTGAGGAAAAACCTTAGGATAAAAGAATATGCAAAACATGAAATGCCAGGTTTCCAAACATCACGTAATCGATATATATAATACTCTCTCCGAAGAGAATCAGCAGTCAGAGTTGAGACTCGTGTGAGCACGTGACGAAGATTGAGGAGCGCCGACAGACTTCTACTCAACCAGCAACGATTTTGGCCCACTTTGTAGTAGCTGCCAGTGAAGAATAACCACACGAGGAAAGGCTTTCAGGAAACACTGCTTAGAAGTACAATCCGTAATTGATGTAAGAGCGCACATTTTCATGACGTCATATTTGTACGTGATACAAATTGAAATCAACTCCGTTCGAAAAATTACGGATTGTATTTTTAAGGACGCGGGACTTGAGGCAACGCTGAGACGAAGACTTGAAAGGCTAGCGGAGATGTAGTGGATGAAACTCTTGACATGGAAATCAACATTCATTCTTCAGAAAACTAAATCAATCAAACAAACTAGTGAAATAAAGAAAGCAAACACACTCTTGGATCTGCTGTGAGACCCCGGCGGCCCCTCGTATTGCATGTGTGTGAAGAGATGGTTGCAGGTTAGTGCTGTTTGACCCGAGGAGCCGTGACTCTACGCAGGAAACTGTACAGAAGTCCAAAATTCTGCAGGAAAACAAGAATTACCATTTACAAAGAATTAACTTTTTTGTAATATGGTAATGACATATATTTAAATTTTTTCAGGGTTATTGACAAACTATATATATATTCATTCTTTGAAATAAGACAATGGTTAACTGAAACAAAAAATATAATTATATATTTATAATATAAATTAAAGCAATATGCCCCGTGAAGCCTTGGTTTACAGTGAATTTATAACAGCTAAGGGACGTTGTTAGGCACGACACGAAGTGGACCCCCTTAGCTGTTATAAATTTTATTATGAATTTATTACAAATTCCTATAATATTATAATAACATATAATAATAATAATATTAAAATATAAACAGAAAATTGCTAAAATAAATATCAAATATTTTTTTTGCTTTTGCTTTGGGGGTGAAATGTAACTACACAATTATATATTGCATGCGAAGAGTGGAATTTTTTTTTTATTAGAAAAAAAATAAAAATTCACTGTGCACTAAATATGTCTGAATATTTGTCCTACCTGGATGGCCAAATACAGCACTCCAAGATAAGATGCGATACAGAAGGCTAGCAGCAGGTCGAAGATCGCTGGTTTTACTCTGGATCGTTACAAATACAACGTAATTATTCAAACAACCCTGGGTTAATCATACTTGTAAAAGTTAAATAGGGGTCCGTGCAACTTTGAAACCTGGGTTAAATTCATTACTAACTTGGGTTTAATCATGAAATACAAAACAATATCTCATAATGTTTAAAATAATCCAGGATTAACAAAGCAAACCTTAACAGCTGGAATAGTATGCTAGAGATTTAAATTGCAGGCTCTAATTTAAAGGAACACTCCACTATTTTTGAAAATAGGTTAATTTTCCAACTCCCCTAGAGTTAAACAGTTGAGTTTTACCGTTTTCGAATCCATT